GGCAGGGGGTTGGAACTGGATGAACTTTAAGGTCCCTTCCAACCCAAATCATTCTATGATGATTCTACTATCAGTAGAGCTTTTTGTAACAATAACTTTTTTAAAAAAAGGGCATCATAGTATAAAATGAGCTCAGGGCAGGGGGATATATTAAACTGATTCCAGCATTCAGAACCTTTGGCTCCCATCACACTGCTTGACAAACAAAAAATCCTTTCACTTGCTTGTAACTCTTCACTCCCTGCTCTTTCAGCCAATACAAACTAAAGACATCTCCAAGAGTATCTCTTTAAGAAAGGATCAATCCAAGGAACACTTTTTTTTCTACTTACAAAAAAAAGTAACCACTACAGAAATTGAAAATGAAAGACAGAAAATATTATTTCAAATGAAAATGTCAAGTTAACGCAGTATTGTACAGTGAATATATAAAAAGCAAGAGATCAAATGGCTCAATTCTTGGGTACATATTTTCAGTGATGAAGGTAATCAGTTCAACAAGACTTCACTAAATTATTTTAATATAATTAAAGTGAAAGTACCTCTGCATTTTGAAATCTGAATCAACTTAAAAAAATGAAGCTAACAGGCAAACAGAAGAGTCCTCCTACACACACAGGGAGCAGCATATACCACAGTTACAAAAACAATTGCTTTAAGCAAAGAAATTATGAGAAAGTTCAGTGCTGTTCTTAGTGAGGGGAAAGGGTTCATGGAAAGAAACACAATTTGCTGGAAACTGCCGAGAGGTGCTTTGCACAGAACTTGGAAAACCAATTGGTAGCAGTAGTGGTTTGTATTATACCTTAGTTACTGGAGAGCTGTTATCTCAACTCGTGGGAGTTACATTCCTCCGATTCTCCTCCCCATCCCTCCGGGAGCGGGGGGAGGAAGGAAAAGGGGGGGGAGTGAGTGAGCGGCTGCGTGGTTCCAAGTTGTCGGCTGGGCTTAAACCACGACACCAATATTCACAAACAACAGAGGTCTTTTTAAGCTTCTAGAAGTAAACACTTAGCTGACCAAAAATATCTGTAAATATTAGACTGCTGTGTTTTGCTGCCTATTGCTTTTCTCACAGCTCTGACAACTAACATGCAAATGTTACTTAGCAGTTGCCCTGCTACATATAAGACCTACATATAAGAGATGTTCATATTGCTGTAGATTGTAGATTTTTTTGTGCTACTCCAAAAATATCAGTAAGCTTAGCAACACAGCATTAAAAGACAATGTTTATCAATATCAGCAAAGCAAATATTTACTAAAAAGCAGCCAAACCTAATTGCTTACTATATTTGTTACAACTATATTGGCAGAAGGCCTATACAGATCAATTTTGTTCCAGTACATATTGTAAGCTGTGCTGCAGCCTGTCCTGTCCTATTGTGGTTGAAGTATATTTGTGATTTTTGTTGAGGGAAAAATAAGGGTACATATTAACAACTATGTGTTACTCATTAAACTGGACACAGCGGCAAATGATGGCATCAGCAGAAATACTGTCTACTTGATTCTTCAAGGCTTTGGTCTGTGCTTTATCTTCTCATCATCACACTTAATCAAACATAGCAAGGTCAGGAGTAACTTCGTTTTGGTTTCTCATTCCCTATACACTAGATCTGGTAACTGAATGTTTGAAAAATGAAACTGATATTTTATTTTTAGTTTTTTTAATCGCTGCATGATTTTTAAATCAGTTCTTTGCTTTTAGTTTTCCTTGTTCTCCCATCAGGAACCTTACCACAGAGATGCAGCTTACCACTGTCTCAAAAAAGTATAATGGTGTTCCTTTACTTGTAATGTTTACAGAAACTCTCTCCCTTTTTATGTATAATATCCCACTGTTGTCAAGATAATGCATACATCTAAGATGACAATTGCTTTGGTCTTTCAAAATGCCAGGCATCTCATTACCATCATCATTATAACCTCTCCTCAGTTAAGAAAGATTACTCTGCACCATCTCCCTGATCCTGATAAAGTCCAGTGACTTAAGATGCATCTTCAAGTTAACCAGCATTATTTTTTGGGTGCATCTTCATTTTTACCACCAGCAAGTTCTTCACAATTGGTCTCTTCAGAAGTTCACTCTCTTAAAAAGAGCTCTCAGCGTCTCTCATTCTCTATCTGCATTTTCCAGCATCACCCAATTCCTTCCCATTAGACTTTCCCCTCTGAATTTGACTCCTTGGTTGCTTGCTTTATACATCTTCCTGCACGCAGGAAGTTCAAATAAAGAAAACTGCAACAGAAAAATCAGTAGAACTAGTGACTGGAAATAAGACTATTGTTTTTGCAATTGCTAAGGCACATTTTTCTCTTGATGGAAAAGTTCACATGATAGAGAAATACAGCTGGCTTTTTATCCCATGCACAGCACTAACTCCATTATCCTGGAAATATATACAGATTATGGATTACTGCAAACAATGCAAAAATAAAAGTGAACTTTCAAACTGCATAATTCTACCAATCTGATGAAATGCCACATTAAACCCCTCTCTAACACTTAACACTTTTGACAAGAAGCAAAGTAGTGTAGGTTTATATTCAAGTTCTTTACAATGGCATCCTATTCTCACTTCACCAATATGTAGAACTGGGTGCTGCAAAGATGTGTGCTGATTAAAGAACAGTGCTATATTGCTAAGTTAAATATGGCTAATTGAATGATAGTCAAAATCACCCTCACCACTGTTGCACGCTTGGCGCAATCTACTTTTCAGACGTTTCCTAAATCACATCAAAGTGTTCATCTCATTTCCTCTCTTCCCATATTCTGTTCCCAGTTTCATGAGTAAAACCTATGGCAGATGACCATTCCCTCAACAAGAATCACAAATGTACTTTGACAAAACAGAAGGGACTGAAGCACAGTATATAACACGCACTGCAATAAAAAATTTACCAAGTACATTCCGTCTGCCAATGAGCAATACCAGCAGCTTCAAAGAGACTTACTTGCATGGGAAGAGCTTGCTTTCTCCGTCAGTTTTGGAAGATAGCGGAGGTGACCTCCGAAAGCTACTCCGGGGAATTCTTGCCCCAGCGTCACACGAGGACAGTTTACATTCTGAAGCATGAAGTCTCCAGGGCAAGCACCATCCTGTGCTATGCGTACAGTTTTCCTCATTCTCAGTTATCAAGTCTTTGGTCTTGGACAGTAGCTATGTGGTGTTAGTTTTCATCATGCAAGATTGTTTTGGAAGGAACATTTCTTAAAGAAGGATCTATATCTTCTGCAACAAAGAATAATTTATTTGCCTTAGTCCCTAATTAATATCAATTTTTGAGACAGGCAAACAATAATCCAAGTCAGTTAATGTTTCTTCTTCACTTCTTTCATTGCTTCTGAGTCTTTGCTATCTTTCAAGAATTCAGACATTTTATTTCTGAATGCTACCGTTCTCTTCCAAACCAAATATATCTATTTGCAACCACCACTACAATTATATAGTTTATCTAAACATCTCCACCCTAGGTCCCTGAACTTTTAGAGCTCCCCTACTTGGGTACGGACACAGGTATGAACCTAGAACAAGGTTCATCATTATGTATGTCACCTGACATCCACAAAACATGAAAGATGGCCCATGGAACAAAACCTACAAGTCATAAATGTGCATACTGCCATACATGCAAACACACAAGCCCAGGAGAGAATAAACCAATAAATGGATGTCCAAACTTTTATCTCATTGCCATGAACAGACACTGCGGCAAAACTGTACCAGATATTCTACTGAGTGGTTTTACTTTGTTCTTCTCCAAAAGACTTATATTGTCTTTATTTAAAAATAAAATAAAATATCAAGAACACAGAGGACAGTGTTCATGTTACTGTCTTCCTCTGGAAAGGGATTAGACCAGCAAGAGACAGTTTCAGTGCTTGAGCATGCCAAATGCACGTCTTTTGTGCAAGGCATTGTGTTTTCTTCAGTAACTGAGGGATGTAAACCAGAATTTAGAGAGAATTACAGACAAAACGCACATGAAACTAACTAAAAGAAAGATCAGTGAGAATAAATGAAAGCTGAACAATTAGGCACAGTCAGACTATCACAAAGAAAGACCAGGAAGCTTCACAGTGATAAAGTCTACTCAGTCAGACTAGTAAAAGAACAATCACTCTTGTGAGCAGGTGGCAGGAGTGGTTGCACAACTCAACCTGCCAAGGTTTTATTCTCCTCTACTGTCAGTTTATGAACTCCCTTAAAGAAACCAGCACTCCCCTACTTCATTATGTTCAGTTAAATAAGTAGAAATTAGTACATCTTAAGCCAACTTCAGATCTTTCCATCTGGCCATGACTAACTCACCTAGTTCTTATGGCGGCTCTGTCTACCGGACAAGTTAATGCATGCTGAAGGCACAGATGGACATAGTCTGACTAGCTTCAGCCTAGCCAACATAGATAACAGAAGAAGTGAAAAAAAGGGTAATGCTAATTGAGCTTCAGTGAGGCTTTAAAAAGAAAGATTCGAAAGCAGGTACAGATACCTCTGTGTACACCACAGTAAAAAAAAATAAAAAATAAAAAGGAAAGAAGTAATGTAGTAGGCTGTACAGGGACACAAACTGAGGCATTTTCATGCACAGAGAACATTATTCAACCTTAGCCCTTCTTTTGAATTAAAAAAAAAAAAATCACTTGTATTTTTAGCATTCCATCTACAAATAACACTGGAATCTAAGATTAGAAATCAGAGTTCATGCCCAAGCAGTTGGTGTAGACTTCCTTCAACCTAACTGAACCTATCTAAACAGCAGGAAAGTATATACAACTAATAATATAGGCTTGCTTTTCCCCCAGAAAGAGATGGCTCAATTAGCTGATCCCTGGAGTGCCTTTCCTGTACATGATCTTGGCATGCTGCAAATTACCTCTAAAGAGAGCCTAGTGTAAATAAAAATTAAATTACAGACAGCTTAAGGTAAGCAAAATTTATCCCACTTTGGAAAGCATCTTAGTTCTGTTCCAATTTATTTCTGCTTTTCCAGATGTTCATGTGTCAAGGTCTTCTGCAGATTTCTACAAAACTGGTAATTAAGCCAGAATTCAGTTTGATTTTTTGACTACAAAACCAAACCAGGTTTGCTACACTTACTGTTCTTAAAAGACCTAGGAGCAAATGAATATGCCCAAAATAGGTGGAAGAACATTTCTTCTTTGCATAATCACGTAATTTTATTAGTCACAACATTATTTTTTAAAACATCTGTTCACAGCCTTAAGGATAAAATTTAATATTTAAAAATTTTTATTACAATCTGGGGTTTTGGTTTGTTTGTTTCTACAAAAGAAACTGTTCTAACACCATTCTTGAGAAAGCACTTTCCAGATGTTAACCACAATACTACTTTCCCAGGCATTTGCACTGCAAGATAAAACTTGGTTCCCTCCAAAAGGCTGTCCTAAGTTCTATGCTCAGATATCATTCTTCTCATTATCCATCAGCAGTAAGGTTTTACAGAACTGAGTATTACTGACAAACAGAAAACAAATTTCTTGGCCTCTGCTAATAGCTCAAGACCCCAAATATTTCCACATTTCAGGAGCAAAGCATTCAAGAGTACTGCCAAAGTATACCAAGAGATTGACATATTAAGATAACCTAAGACACATGTAGATGTTAATTTGATTTCAAATACACGCTAAATCTGCTTGTATACTTTATTTATGCATATCCTCACATGTGGCTGGGCTCTTATTCACTCTTAGAACTGTTATGAAACCTCTTTTTTGGTTCATTTGGGAGACTATAACAGATTACTAAATTTATTATTATATCTATTTATATTAACTATAAATTTCATAAGCAGAAATCAGGTATTGCCTCTTTTCTTAAATTTCTTATTTTCAACTGCTTAGAAAAAATCCTAATCCAATGGCAGTAACAGTCCAAAGTAGAAATAATAACAACCACCAACCACAGCTAGCGAGAAACAAGCAGCATTTGTAAAACAAAAAGTCTGATTAGAAACTCACCTATGGCAGCAAAACAGGCAGCTGATGAAGAATACTTATTTTCACTTTAGCTACAAAGTAGTTAATATTATCCAAAATACTTCTCATGCTAAACCAGAAAGTCACGATTTAAGATTTAACTTTCAGGTTTTTCAGAACTGAAAATGAGAATTCTGTTATTTTGCAGTAGCAAAAGATTGATAGTGACATTCCAAGCTCTGTAAAAATCAGTTCTCAAATATTTTGAACTTGACTATGTTCTTGGGGCTGAGGTGTTTTATGTGTTGGGGTTTTTTGGTGTTCTTTTGGTTTGGTTTGTTTGTTATTAGGAGTATTACATTTACACCAGAAATAGGAGAAGTAGGAAATAAACAGCACTGCATCTAGTTAGATAAAGCTCACTCCCACTACAAACGAGGCACTAGTAATTCCATTACTAGTGGATGGTCTATTAGTAATACCATCCACTTAAGACCTTGGCCTACCAGGTTTTTTTCACTGAAGGTGGCAGAAAGCATGGGCTGTGAATTCCAGGCTGACCTAGTATTTTATGAAAATAAAGTCCAAAGATGCACCACATATCAATTCATGCAACAATAAGGCTGTATGAGAGGACAGAATGGCAGAATGAAAGGATAGATCTTTACCTTGATAGGTTTTAGGCAGCAAAGAGATCCTCAGGACTTTAAATACAGGCTCAAGCTATTAGTTACACTGAGGATACCAAACGCTCACAGGCCAGACCAAGACACATGCTTCCATCAGAAACCGCAGCTTAAAGACCAAGCTATTGACATTCATGGGTACTTCAAGAATATAATGTGAATGGCATAATATTTTAAAACTTACACATAGCATTATTTACTTCACTGTTAAATTGGCACTGTCATGAATGTTTTTGAGCTTACTGAATTTTACCCAACAAGTAAAGGTGTGCTTCTTAAAATTCATTACACACTACACTGCACATACCATGTCCGTATTTATCATCAACACCTTTGGTATCTACAAAAGTGACATAAAGCACATTTTTACCAAAAAGTAAATTAAAAATCTGTATAGTTGGCAATGTATTAAATTCCTCTGAAACAGTTCTTCTAAGTTCTAAAGACCACATTTGTTTGTGTTCTGTATGAAAAAAACCCAGCCGAAACTTTCTCAGACAAAAACCTATGCAACAGTTAGCCTGCACCACAGTACAGAATAAAGCGTACAATTAAGCACAGAACTTTGACTTATCCGTAGATAAATACGTATGAAGATACTATCAGACTTCTACTGTACTTTGAAAAACTAGATTAGAGAACAGCTTTACCAATTAAGTTGACTGACACTACACAACTCAAAGACTTCATCAATTTAGCAATACTGTGTTTTAGGAAGCGCAATGATTTTATTCTTAAGACACACTGATTCAGAACACTATAATCCTTTGTAGGTATTAATATCAACATGAAGTACTTACCCTTTAGCAATAGCTCTTTGCCATTTTCAGTGATTTGGTTTACCATTATTCTTCTTTCTGCTCTTAGTACATGCTTTAGCAAATGCCTTCTCCGTGAAGTCCTGAGAATCGGACAAGTTTAATAATACCGTCTTCCCAAAAGAACTCTTTTTACGCCCTCTGATAAACTGTCTGCAATAATGAATGGGACTGATCTCTTTCAGGAAGCAAAGGGGTTTCTTACAGAAAGCTAAGCCGACACTGGTATAATCCTGGCATTATAATCCTTTCAACACTGAGAAAATACACAAATGTCAGGATCTTACTGAAAATGCTATTTGTGAAATCCAAACACAGCCACACTTACGAGGCACACTACCAGCTATTTGCACACTTACTCGGAAAAGTGTGTGCCACAAATCTGCTGCTTCCCGAGTGTGGAATCACTGTGTTTTAAACCTGCTAATGCCATGAAAAGTATGGCTTTGTGACGTTAGGCCTCCAGGCATTTCAGCTTTCAAGTGAAAACAGTGATGTATTTCCATCTTCAATACTGATATGATTATCTATTAATGGACTAATCATATGCAAGATCAAAAAAAAAAAAAAGCATCAGCATGATGAAATGGAGGTTTATAAAAGATAAATAAGTAACTACTAACTTACAGATTCTAAGCAGTTTGTGATTACCAGAACCCCCTCCACACCGCTCGTTCATAAG